TTACCTTGGTTTTTATTTGGGACACTGATTACTCTCATAAGATCTTTATTATTACCCAGATAAATCTCTGGAGATCTCTCAGAAGGCAAGTCCATTCATCCAAATCAATTGAAGTAACAGCATAGTTGTGACTGATACTTGAGAGAAAAGGCAATGCAAGTAGAGAGGCTTAATATAAGATGTAATTTTCCCCTGCAGTCTCCCTGAGCTTTATTAAAGTTATTTGACTCCTTAATTTCCACAGGCTTTATCACAGTGCTGGTGCTCCCATGGTTGCTTATGATCGGTTTGACATGATGCTGTTATTCCTTTGTTATCATTCACAGGGGGTCACTTTGCAAATCTCCCACCTGAATAAAAGGGGAGGCCAAAACACCATGTTTCCCTATCAACTTGTTGACAAAACCAGGAGTTAAAGCCTCTGTGAATAATAAATAACTACCAGCAATCTTTGACACTTCTATAGACCTTATTAGCACCGAACCTCAGTCACTTTAGTGTAATCTCTCCTGTGCAAACAAGGCAACAAGCTCTTCTTTATGAGATCACACAACTCTGCAGAAGGCCAAGGAGGAGCCTTTAGATTTGCACTAAACTAATTTGGTAAAACTTTGCAGAGGAGCAAGATTTCAATACCAAGCCACTGCATCATCCCCAGGCTTAGCAGGAGGCACTGTGGGAGGGGGAACCTGCAAGGACAATTCCCACTTCCCAGTTTGAGCAAGTATAAATCAACCCCCTGTGCGTAAAATAGTGGCATTTATTACTTAGCCATAAGAAAAAGCTGCCATGAGAAAGAGGTATTGGCACAAAGAGATGTTCTGCAGGCCTTCAGGATTTTTCCATCCCTAGAGGAGGATGCTGGCTGCATAACCAAATGCTCAACCCTATCTCCAAAACGTCTGACCGCTCGGACTCCTTCTGAGCAGGAAAAGGTCAACATGAGACATGAATAAAAACATGGAACTTTTATGAATGTTAGTTAGGTTTTCATTGCTCCTTAATTGTTCCTTTCATCAATAAAAGCACCTTATTGAAAGTAACTGCTGTGACTGCAAGATTCCTTGAATAGGCGAATACTGCATTTCTCACAGGGTCAGAGGGTGGGAAGAAGTGCCTAAAGCTGTAATTCCAAAAGTGAAAAGGAAGTGTCCCTGTGTTGTTATCGCTACCAACATCAGCTCTGGGACTGAGCCAAACCTGCGACCCAGACACCTGCAGTATGCTGCAAGAAGGGGCCCCTCGCACTTTACAAACCCAGCTCCAATCCCAAGCCTGGTGGGAACTTGGGGCTTTAGCAACAACCTTGTGGAAACCGCTGTGACAGTGACCTGGAGTAAAGCAGGGGGCCTGCAAATGTCACTAGGGGGATGTGAGAAACACCAAGACAGAGCCCAATTTATTACTGGGTCTGGAAATGTGGAAGCTAAAATGCAAGTGCCTAAAGAAATGAATGCTGGAGCTGCTGGAGCTCCTGTTGCTCTCCAGAGTGGCCAGAACAAGCACCTGTGTAGATTTATGAGACTGGGGGGTTATTGGGAAACTATGGAAAGCAGCATCTGGCCCTCAGCCCAGACTGGAAGGGGTTTAAAAACACAGCTGGTATTAGATCCCAGCAGCAGCAGCAGGTCCAGGATGAGGAACTTATGTCCCCAATGAGATGTGCCTTGGGTCTGGCCTCTGTTCACCATGCATCATGGGGCTTTTTGAAAACTAAAAGGGTTTTTCCATGACGGAAAAGGCAGACAGCATTTCCCAGCATGTCATAGAATCATAGAATGGTTTGGGTTGGAAAGGACCTTAAGATCATTCAGTTCCACCTCCTCTGCCACAGGCAGGGATGCCTCACACTAGACCATATCACCCAAGGCTCTGTCCAGCCTGGGCAGCCTGTTGCAGTCTCTCAACACTCTCACAGTAAAGAATTACTTCCTTATATCTAACCTAAACCTCCCCTGTTTAAGTTTGAATCCAAGAAGTCCCTGCACATCTCTTTGCCTCTTTAGCATCATCAGACAGCTGCTGAGAGGAGAAGGAGCTGTCAGGCTTTTCCTTATTTCAACCATTGGGACAGCCCAGACAAGGCTGCCTGCATGCAAGGAGCATTGCACAGAGAAGAGGGCAAGCAGGAAAACAGTGTGTCAGTGGTCACCTTTGCATCTCCCACTCCATGGATGGCTCAGGCACACCCTACAGAAGGGACCTCTTGCTGGGAGCAGCATTACATGAGGCAAAAGACATTTACCCATGATGGGGCCCTCTCACCTTCTGGCTGAGCACCCCAGATCTACAAACACAGATTATTCATTGCAATTGCAAATGCTTCCAGCACCAAATTCTCCCTTGAAATGTCCACCCCAAAAATATACCGAGTAGTGCACAAGGCCATAAGCAAGACAGGGATGCAAAGAGTCTTTTGGAGTACATGATACAGCTGTAAACTGGAGATTTCATCATTCCTGTACTCCAGACCTACTTGGGCGCACTGTAAGATGTCCCTGCACAGAGCAGTGCCAAGCCCTAGAGGAACGACCTTACCTACTAACTCCTGGAACCAGATTTTAGCCTCAGCTGCCTTCTGCTTTGAGGATCTCAGCGTCTCCGTCTCTTCCCTCTGATTGCACTAAACATCTGTGATGGGTTTTAACTAGCAAGTTAACATCGGTACACAGCAGAATGAGCTTCATCTGAAGCCCCTGCCTCTCTACCCAAGCTCTCCACAACTTGACCCTATCTCAGAAGACCCCCTTGGGTTCCCAAAGAGCCCCTTTTCCAAAGAGCTTCAAGAATAATGCTCCAAGCAATGCTTACTTTGTGTGCCACAAAGCTGGGGCATGTCACAGGCTTTGGCTCTAGAGCCAGCTCAGCCAAGTGCATTTGGAGATGGAAACTGCTCGCCCTGTGATGGGATGTGAGCAGATGCAGTGACAATCGGGAAAGTCACCAACAAGGCAAAGAGTGAAGCAAAATGCACCCTGTACATGGGTATCTGCACTGGGAAGAGCTGAGGAACAAATTCCAAGTACCACGGCAGCCAGAAATGCCATCTCCTTCCCAGGCTGGGGCACACAGGCGCCAGGAGCCGGCGCTTGTCTGTGCAAACACAGATGCAGGAGCTGAATGGGAGCACAGTCATCCTAAACTATTTTTAACTGGTGCAGAGGAAGCTTTTACTTTCCATTATGAAGAGGAGACAAAGTGCCCATCAGTTGTGCTGAATTCATTCACTCAATGGTGGGGTGTTGACATATGTAAAGCCCCCAGCCCTGGTCTGTGTGAGCAGCAGCTCTAATCCCCCCTGTTCTGCTCACAGCTGCGGGGGGTCAAAGAGCACAACAGCTGAAATGCACGTTGATGCACATGCATTTGGTTGCTGCAACTTACCCTGAGGGTTTCTGCCTGGTGATTGCCATTAAAGTCAACTGGAGAGGGTCACTGCCGGCGTAAGTGAGCAGCAACCCATCAGGATCCCCTACATCTGGCTAAATAAACAGCACAGAGGCATCATAAGCGGACACTGGGAGTTGGAGCTGGTGATCCCCCACAAATCCACTTTGCTTCCCCACAGCAAAATCAGTGGATTTGGCAGCAGCAGCACCTTTACTTGCCAAAAATGTTGGTCGGGGCACTGGAGAGCCTGCGGGCTGGCAGGGAGGAGGCAGGGCTGGGACCAGGGCTCTCTGCCTCCCCCTCCTTGCCCAGCGAGGATTATAGCTCTGTGATCTAATTGTAGGATGATTCATTTTCTCTTAAACATCAATTCCTGCTGCTGTCCCCAAATACATACTTAAACATCACGGTTCCCTCCTCTCTCCCCAAAATATCAGCAGTGGGAAAACACTCTCTCATGGGGCATTCTAAGGAGTGGATTGTGTCACTGGCCACATAGCCATGAAGCAGCTCAGACTTTGTATACTGGTGGTCAGGCAGCTGGTGGCAGGAAAGTGCTCAGCCAGTTACTGACCTCCCTCCATCCATCCCCCGAAATAAGCCACTAATGCATCTGCTACCATATGTAAACATTGTGCCTTGGATGGGGCCACAGAAGACACAAGTGATGACACATGTCCTGTCCATCCTAACCTGCAGGGATGCTTAAAATGTTCCCTGCTACCAGTAGAAATCACCAGCCTCATAAAACAAGGCTTGGCACTAGAACAGCTCACCAAGTTCCACTGCTGCTAATGTATATGCCCATCCAGAACGTGCACACACATAATTGCAGGTTGCTTCTCTCTGCCCAGGGAGTATTTATTAAAATCCTGCATTTATCACACACACTACAGCCCCATAAAGGGGCTCAGAAGCCACTAACAATGGGCATCATTGGACTTTCCATACTAGAAATGTACTTTGTTAAAGGAGGATCGCCTGGAGCGTTTGCTGTGGCCTCCCTTGAGAGGAGAAAGAAGCATTTCATTCAGCTCCTTCAGAAGTAAGCACTGGCATTGGTCAGACAAACCCTGCCCTCATCATGCAGACGAAACATGCCCTCAAGAATCTATTTTTCCCCAGCCACTACAAAGACAGATTAGGGTGATTAGTTCAGTAGATGTTATGTGGAGCTAGACAAGAATAATCCCTTATAGTCTGTCATGGTCCAGGCACTGCTATCACTACATGAGATGAACACAGAAGTACAAAAGCAAAGCTTTGCTCCTGAGCAACTCAGCTGAAGCTAAAGTATGGGGTCTAGAGATAGCAAACCCAGGAATGACCTGGGTAGAGTAGGACAGGACCACAAACAATACTGGTTTCCAGCCTGTTGCTCTTGAACAGGTTGATGCCACGCTTTGCCCGGGTCCATAGGAAGCTAAAGAGCTAACACAAAGATCAGCTTTGAAAGCAGAGTTTAGCATCTCCCCACCAGTGCATTACCGAAGGACCAGGAAAATCAGGGATCTCTGCTCTGCATTCACATATATATATGTTTGCAAACGACACAGGAATGCCTGTGCCCACTTGGAAAGCAATTACTGGAGAGCAAATACATCACTTACCCGGTTGTCCTCTTGAATCTCCCAGTCACTGGAGAAGCTCAACACATGCTGTGCCTGGGAGCAGTTAGAAAACTGGAAAAGGCTGGCAAACATCCTTCTGTTCTCCATGGTGTCCGGGAAAATCGCCTCCTGGAAGTTGACTCCATGTGGCAGGAGGATGTAGTTCTCATCCATTCTGAAACACAAATTGCATGGGCAGTGCGCAGTGAGGCTGAGCAGCACTTTCTCTCCCACAGAAGTCACCCCTCGTACTTCAGCCTTGCTCAACAAGTGCCACCAAAGTCACTAAGATGGACTTTCAGCAGGCATGTGGTACTCAGTTCTCCTGGGTACTTAGTTGCCAAGACAGGGGACTGGATCAGGCAGCAGCAGTAAGGACTTAAACAGGCTCATACCACCCTGCAGGCATCAGTGAACCACCACGTATGAGGCTATACTGTATCCCATGGTTCCTATTCAATTTCCATCACTTTGCCCTTGATCCCAGAGTTTAAGTACTCCTTCAAACAGTCATAGAATCGTATCATAGAATCACAGACTGATTTGAGTTGGAAGTGACCTTAAAGCTTACCCAGTTCCAACCCCCCTGCCATGGACAGGGACAGCTTTCACTAGACCAGGCTACTCCAAGCCCTGTCCAACCTGGCCTTGAACACTGCCAGGGATGGGGACTCCTGAAGAGGTGCACAGCAAACATCTCCCTACACTACAGAAATTATCTATAGCTGCAAAAAACCTAGGACTTAGTAAGCCCAAACCTATGAAGACTTTTGCGCCCAATACTTCTGCCCTTTAATACTTATTTACACTAACAGTGTCCTGAGCACCTCAGTTATGAACCAGGTCTCTCCTGAACCAAGAGTTGTATAACAAGTAAAGTCAATAAATAACTTCTGTAAGACATGTTTAAAGCTATTGCTAGAAACTAAGGATTAGGCAGCATCAAGTTGTGCTTCATTACACACCCAGTGCAAGAATATACAAATATATTTCAAAACAAGCCACTCAATAGTATTTCGCAAACACTCTTGGATTGAAAGGTCACAGCGATGGCTCTGCTCCCATACTGTGGTTTGTTCTCTTATTCTTTCGATGAACCCAACGTCGGGATTTGGCTGGGGCTTGGGAGAGCCGGGAGGAAGCTATCGGGTGAGTACTTGGCAATGAGTTTTAAAGTTCCACGCCAAACTTCGGCAAAGAGGCACTGGTTTCTCTCCAGTCCCCTCGTAAAAACAAAAGCAGCAGCACCCAGGAGCTACTCAACAGCGGCTCCCTGAATGACGGAATATTAGATTGAGAATTGGCTCTTTCTCTCCCGATGAAACTATGGGTGGAAGCGCCAAGTGCTGTGGGGAGAGTGGTCTGAAGTGAACCGTCCCTAGTGCGGAGATACCCTGGAGCCGGGATACCGACACCCCCCCTCCAGATAGCCGTATCACAGGACTCACCGGAGGAAGAAGAAATAAGCGTAGCCCTGCATGACGGTGTGCGAGTGGCAGGAGAAGTACCCGAGGCCGGTGAGGTTGAGGCGGGAGCCGGCGGGCACCTCCAGCATGCTGCCCCACGCCTGGTCGCACAGCAGCTCGATCTCGGCGGAATAGAATAATCCCCCCGCTGCCTGCTGCGGGCCGCCGGGGGGGTCCCGCTGCCAGGGCAGGTAGTTGTACGCTCCGTAAGCGTCTGGGTGCAGCGCCAGCACCTTCGCGTACACGATGATCGCGGCCAGCTCGGCGCGGCAGCCCTCGCTGAGCGGCCGCCACTCTGCCGGTAACTGGCAGCCCCCTCCGCCGCCTGCCCGGCCCCCCAGCGCCAGCCCCAGAGCCAGCAGCGGCAGCAGCCGCGGCGGCATCGCGGGACGGGGCAAAGGAAGGCAAAGGGGTTGGAGAGGGATTGAAGGGGGGGACGGGACACACGAGGGGAGGTGGGGGAGAGGTGAGGAAGGACTGCAGTGGAGGAGGCAGGGAGGGAGCGAGGCGGGGATGCGAAGGGGCAAAGAAGGGAAAGCGCGGGGGGGGGGGGGGTGTAAAGGAAAGGGGGCGGAGAATGGAGGGTGCCTGGAGTTCGGATGCCCAAAGGGCTGAGATCCGAGCGGGCAAGGGCGCGGAGATGCGAAGGGTCTGGGGGCAGGGGGTGTGCAGGGGCAGAGACGCGAGGAGAAGAGTTGAGGAAAGGCAGAGATGCGAAGGGGGCAGAGAGGCAAAGGGGAGGGATGTAAATGAGAGAGGTGCAAAGGGGGAGGTGAAAAGGGAGGGATAAAAGGGGAGGGATGCAAAAGCAGAGTTGCAAAGAGGAGGAATGCGAAGGGAAGAGATGGACGGAACGGAGAGTGCAAAGAGGCAAGATGGAAAAGAGAAGAGATGAGAAGGGCAAAGCACACTCCGGGGTGAGGGTAGCTACTGCCGGGCACCCCCCAGCCCCAGGGTGGGCACTGGTGGCACCCAGGGCTGTGAGAGGTGAAGGGGTGGCTCGTAGGGTGACGGCAGTACAAGGGTCCCAGGGGAGCAGTGCGGTGCTCACAGCTCCTGCTGGGAACGAAGAGCCTGGGAAAACGAAGATGCATGTGTGTGCTGGGAAGCTTGTAACCCTGATCACCCACTTCTCCCGTTTGAAATGAGGATGGATAAAACTTGCAAGCGGAGAAGAGCAGCTCTTCCCAGCAGCCTGCAACTGTTTCTCGAAATATATCTGGTGAGCAAGGTAAAAGTGAAAAGTCAGGTCTCGAAATACTTTGCTGTTTCCTCCTAGAACTGGCTGAGGCAGCTTTGGGCTTCTCCATGTTTTTGGCAGATGGCTCTGAGACTGACCCTGTCCCTGCATAAAAATTGCTGTGGAGCCTCCCTAGGGGCCCCGCACCACTCACAGCCTGAAACAGCCTCTTTCTGTTTCAGCATTCTCCTTTTCCCACACGTGAGCTCACTGGGAATGAGACAGTCAGGAATGGGCATGGGATGCTTAAAAACTTTTGTTAGAATAGGAATATCATGGAGACATGGTAACAGTTAAATCTCTCCCTAGCTGTGATGGTTACTAAGAGCTTGACAGCACAGCCTGCTTGGTTCCTTTAATCTCATCCTCTGTCCATCTTCATCTGGGAGCAGGAGGTGCCTTTTCGTTCCACAGTTGTGCTGTGTCTGGTATAGGGGGTTCCTCGTGCACGGCTGGTGTGCAAAATCATGTGTGAAATAAGGAATCATGAGTTAAATAATGCTGAGCCAACCTCATAACAGTGAGACAAGACTTCCGCTGTGACAAGTGTCTCCCTCTGGAGTAGTTTCATCAGATTCAGCTGTGTGCTAGAGAGTTTAACAAAGGTAATATTCATATTTCATGATGGCATGGCCCTACAGTGTATTTCATCACAACTTTATGCAAGAACAGCCAAGTTGGTTCTTGCTAAAACAGAAACAGATTTGGTTTTTTTTTTCTCCCTAACAAAAACTCCAGAGAGCTTTTCTCACTTGTTTTATATGTACCATCTATTTCTTGAAGATCAACAAATTGCTTCCAAATTCCAGGAAAAAAGCTTAAAAGACAATCCTGAAAAGAATTTTTCAAAGCAAATATCCTCCAGAAATCCCAACAGACCAACAAGCTCAATGTTTGTTTAATGTTAACAACCAGGAAATACTGCTTTTGCTTTGGACCTGAAGGGACTAAACTGCAGTACAGGAGGTTTCAGTGCCTCATTCAGTAGTTTTGAAATACATACATAATAACTAAGGAGGAAAACTGAAAATTGAGGCTGATGTTGACTTCAGGCAAAACTGGGTCAATCCTGGAGGTATTTTGTGCAACCCAGTGTACATGGAAGCCTTGGTACGAACCTCAGGTTTCTGCTGGGAAATGGTGCTTTGAGATGTTGTAAAACACATGGGGGTCATGTGAAGAAAGAGGGAAGTGCTGCAAGTGATGGGAGAGATGTTCAGCCCATCCAAGGTGGTCTCTCCATGTCCCTTTATGGTCTCTCCAAGGGGAATGACTGGTGCCAAAGCCTGGCAGCTTCAGCAAGGTGAATTTCGTGTTAGGTGTGGGCAGCAGTATACAGGTGCGTTATTACTCCAGCACTGCTGCTGAGGAGATAGAGCCCAAGAAGCTGATGTCTGTAACCATAGGTTGGTTGGTTTTATCCTGAAAACCAAACTCTTAGCTTGTGTGAAACAGCAATTGCTGTTTCTTCTGTGTATACATATAAGATTGATATCTTCTGGGTAGAAGAGCCTCACATTTAAGCTTCATCTCTGTTTACTGCATGTTGCAAATGAATAATGGTCAACTGTTCTCAAACCACTTTGGAAATACCTCATGTGATCCGCTCTGCTATTTCTCACATTTTGATGATTCCACCACATAACAGCTGGGAAGAGCAGGGTGAGAAAGGGAGACACACTAGCAGCTCAAACCCAAAATATGGATGTGTCTTTCCTTAATGCCACCTCTAATAGTCTACATTATACTGGTTATATTTGACAAGAGTGTTTGAATCAGCGAGGCACCTCAGGAAACACAGTAGATTGTGCATGCTGGCACTGGCTGATGCTCTCCAATTCACTTTTTGGTGGTGATCACCAGAGTGTGGAAGCAGTAATTAATGTTCTGTGGATTTCTCTATCATTCTGCAGAGTGGGTTTGTAGGCATTTTGAAGATACAGCAGGTGTCCATGGAACTGACTTCAGAGCTGAATGAGCTGCAAGGAGGTCTTGGCCATGACTCTGGAGCAGATGCTATAGGTAAGCACGTCTCCACATACCTCTCACTTGAAAGTGCCCAGTTCCTTTGTTCTCTTCCATTCATGTTTGCTGGTGCTGTGCCCAGTGTCACTGTAAGGGCTTGGGGTGGCTCCTCTTCTCCTGTGCCCTCTGCCAGATGTTGCCAGCTGAAACTTCTCCCTGTTGGGAGGCTCTCCAGAGATTCATCGGTGTGGAACCTTCCCTTTCCATTGTGACAAGCTGGTCCCTTGGGCTATTTGAGTTCATTACAACTTCCAGATCAGTATTTTAGCAAAGAATTAGAGCTGTCTACATTCAGATCACAGTGATCAACGTGATTTTGTTCCTAAATTTCTCTCCACAGAAGCACCATCAGTTTTCTTCTCTCTTCCTTCATCTCTGCGGTAGTGAAAAGTAGCGGGAGCATCTGAATCCATTCCGGGAGTCCTTTCTCTTCCAGCCTTGAACAACAAGGAATTACTGAGACAAAATAAAGATTTAAAACCCCTCCCTGGAGACCCCATCCTTCAGAACTGTGTTTGCTGTTTCTCAGCAGGGATCCACCAGCTGATCTGAGACGCTCTCTAGTGCAGCATAAATACTTCAGTGCTGTGAACTCAGCGTGGGCCTGATGAGTGCTGTAGCCAAAACCAGCTAATCAGAGGAGCACCAATAGAGCCAATTACTGCTCAGGCTGCGCTTTCAGCCACTCATGCATGTGCCACAGTTATTCATTCACTTCCTCAGTTTAGATAGCCCTGTAGACTTTGAGACAGGCCTGTGGCTTTCCCAGGCAGGAGCTCTTCTTTCTCTTCCACTCATCTTTACAGATATTTAAACCAAAGGTTTCTCCCTCCAGGCCATGTCATTTCTTTGCTGTTTCTGTGGTGATACAGGTGATTTAAGCCTTTTAATAAAACATAGCTCTGTTCTGCCTCTCTCTTTGCCTTTAAAGCATTGACAGAGTTGAGCATTAGTTCAGGTATCAAACAAGAGCACTGTGCTCTGGCTGGCTGCCTTTCTAATGCATGTAGGTGATCTGAAACCTCGGCCCAGCTGTCTTTTATATATATCCACAGTGATTCCTTTGTAGTCCAGGGTACAAAATATCAAACCCAGATTTCTTTCTCACTGCTCTTTAAACTGGGCGACCTACAAATATGAATATTCGGCTGTGTTAGTGTCCCCACAGGAAGAGATGTTTTCATTAGCTCCTTCTGTCTGTGCTTCTCTAATGCGAGTCTCTCTTCTCATGGCTTGACATTTGGTCCATCATATTTAACTATTTTTGTACTAATATCTGGGCTGGGTGATTCCTATTTTAAAACAATCATATTCCCTGGCCAAAGTTCCCTGTAGTTCTGTATGGTTCGTTCTTTTGAAGAGTACTTACGACTATGAAGAAACAGGATCTGTCTTTGGGGATCAGGCGGGAGTACACTGCTGTCTCAAAGAGTTTGCAAAGATTTACTGGATGAATAGCAGTAAAAAGACTTTCTGTAATATCATTTAGAATCTGAATGGAAAAGTAAGTAGAAAGATCAAAGAGTTAGTATGGATGGAGATCTTTTCCTACACCTTCATTGCATCTTTCTGCCCTTACTTGGTCCCTTCAGCCTTTACTCATCCCCACTGTCCATCTTCCCCATCCTGCCCTCACTGTGCCCACAGGGCCCTGCTCACATCCGCCTCTGCCCTGTTCTCTGACAAATCTCATCCGTGTAAATGCAGTTTTATTTGGATATGGATGTATGTCCTGTTAACTGTGTCCTCCTACCAAAACTCCTGTCTCAGCCTGGCTCCCTGACACCTGAGGACATCTGACCCTCGTCTCAGACCCATCTTGGCTGAAGGGGAAATGTTACTCTCACTCCAAATGACCCTTTTTCCCTTTCTCAATCACTGGTACTATCACCTCCTCTTATCCATCACTTGGACTTATAACCTGGATTTCATCCTCACCATAGACTTTCCTCTGTGTAGACACTTCCCATGTAGCTACTCCCAGATGTGCCTTTCCTACCATTCACACAATGAAGATGCTGTGCAGGCTCTTCTCTCTCACGTCTTGAGTCCTACGGCATCTTTTCCTGGGCAAACCCAGCCTCAGCCCACCACTGTATACTCAACTTGTTGCTACACACAGTTTCTATAGCTCATCACTGCTGATCACATTCACCACCCATCTTTTCCCTGTGGCTACCCACACTCACCCCTTGCTTCATGCCAGGATCTTGCAGCAGAGCTCTGAGGAAAGGACCTCATTGGCTCTGCATTTCTGCAGCATCTGGTTCTTGAGCCATGACTGCAGGTCCAAGAATAAGAATAGCAACAAACGTGCAAGCTGATTCCAGCCCAAGTCAGCAGAGGCCAGAAGCTGCTGTGCTCAGAAGTCTGTTCATAAATCAATGTGAAATGTGCTGTCTGAGCATAGCTCCCACTAGACACACATCTGCATAACACATACCACTGACACAACTGGCGATGGGAAAAATAGCTAAACACATCATTCCCACAGCTGTGGAGGAATGAATAAAGATATCTAATTCCCTTGTCCGTGGGGTGAACTCTGGTCCAGGTAAAGGCACTTCTTATAAATATGAGGTTTTAAAGGCAGAGGGATCAGTAGGAAAGTTTAATCTGACCACACTGCCTAGAAAATTTCACCCAGGGACTTCAAGATCATAACTGAATTTAGAAGAAGAAAGAGAAAGAAAGACATCCAACTCTCACTTTAAAATCTCAGATGGGGGAGAAGCAAGTTCATCCTTTGGTGAGCTGTTTCAATGGTAAAATCTGATGTTTTTTCCCATTCTGGATTTGCCTGGCTTCAGCTGCCAGCCATGGGATCACTTTGGGCTGTAGACTGCTATGTGAAGAATAAAATAACCCTCTTATTAGAAATTCTCACCCAGTTTTGGCATTTATAATCCAGCAACCAAGCACTCCCTTGAATAAATTGAATACATTTTCTCTTGGTGGCAAGATGACCACACTATCACTCACTGCTGTAGCTTGGTTGTTCCAGATTTTCAACATCCTTTTCTCCTGCAGAGACCAGAGATGAGCTCCAGATTTCAGAGCCTGGTCTCCAAAAAGCCATGAAGAGGGCAGCACCACCACTTCTGTTTGGTTTTCTGCTCCTTTAGCCAAGAACCACATTTATTCTGGTGGCCAGCATCATTACATAAGTATGCAGCTGTTTTCACTGGTCACTTCTGAAGATGAATTGTACTGGCAAAGTACACTTCGATCATAGCTCAGTCAAGTGAAGGCAATTCTGGCCTAGTTTTGGGCCACAACTATCACCTCTCCAGCACCCATACACTCACACTGGGTCTCTCCAGCTTCAGGATCACAAGAGAGCAATGATGAAAGGGATGCTGTACGTGTCCAAGTCCTAATGTAGCAGTGGTACTGTAGGATTTTGGCTTCTTGTCTAGAAATAAAAAGATGGATATGTGAAATGTCTTGTCTTTGCTTCAGCAGTTCAAGTTCTCTGGATTTATTCCCTCTCCTTCCTATGTTTTAAAAGGGTTGAAACTGTTTTAACTTTTGAATCACAGCTGGAGGTAACATAGAATCATAGAATCATTAGGGTTGGAAAGGACCTTAAGATCATCCAGTTCCAACCCCCCTGCCATGGGCAGGGACACCTTACGCTAAATCATATCACCCAAGGCCTCGTCCAACCTGGCCTTGAACACTGCCATGGATGGAGCATTCACAACTTCCCTGGGCAACCTATTCCAGTGCCTCACCACCCTAACAGGAAAGAATTTCCTTCTTATATCCAGCCTAAACTTCCCCTGTTTAAGTTTTAACCCGTTACCCCTTGTCCTGTCACTACAGTCTCTAATGAAGAGTCCCTCTCCAGCATCCCTATAGGCCCCCTTCAGATACTGTCTTCTTCTGAAGTGAATTCAATGCTGCTGAATGATAACAGATTGCCGGGGCTGCCTTCTCTCTGAGCCCCAGGCAGAAGAGCAGCAGGAGAAACCTGAGCTGGGGAATAGGTTGCCTTTCAAAAGGACCAAAGCCCGCTCTATCTTTGCTGAGTGCAGAGATGATGTGCAGCTAGACCCAGCAGAGGCAGGTCATCAGAGACAACTTTCCTGTGTAGCCTTCCATCCACAGGAACCACCTTTTCTTTCCTTCACCCCTCAGAAACCAGCATCTGACCTCAAAGGATCTTGTGTAGAGCCCATATGGTAACTAGAATCATGACTTTCACAGTATTACAGGGTCTAGTGTGAGGTGTCCCTGCCCATGGCAGGGGGTTGGAACCGAACGATCTTAAGGTCCTTCCCAATGCAATCCATTCTATGATTCTATGATTACTGACTGAGCAGGAATATGTGTGTGTGTGTCCAGGAGGTTGCACAGCCCTGGCTTGCAGTGGTCCCATCAGACCAACCTTTCTTCTTGCAGTCTGCCTGATTAAAAAGCAAAGAGAAGAAAGGCATTTTATAATGAGTGATCTTGGTGCCATGTATAGTTAATGCAATTGAACTCACACTCTGCTCAGTTTTCACAACTGGGCTCTTACTTTGATGAGTTAATTCCTTTTGATGTCCCTTCTGTCCCTCCCCTTCTCTTTCTGAGTCAAAAATAACCCAACTGTCCATCTTGCTTAGGGAATTACTGGAGTTTTAAGAGAACACAAAGTGCTCTCACATGAGGATTTGGGATTAAACCTCTCTTGTTTATGTTAAACATAACATCTTAATTCTTCCACTGCTGGAGGGCAAATGAGTCTCCATAACCCCAAAGAAACCTGCTTTTAAGGCCTATAGCAAAGGTCAGTGTGATTTGTTTTTCATTGTGGATGTTCTTTCCAGTAAAATTGTCTCATGGTATATGACAGTTCTCTTACAAAACACCTTTATGCAATTTAAAGCATTTTAACTTAGTGTTTTCCATTGTAGGACAGCATATGCTTCATTTTCAGCACATTCTTTCAAATCAGTGGAGTGACTTTTTTCCAGGGTTGTGGTAAGGAACACAACTGCTGCCATCCATGACTCATCCAACACCCAAGGAGCTTTGGATTTGGAGGAAGGAATCCTACTGAAGCTGGCAGTTCCCTGAACTGGGTTTGGCTCCAGCCTCCCGGCTTTAGGATGTATGTGTACCTTGTACACAGACGTGCAAGCTCATCTGGAGGGGAAGACTTGTGGAAAAGAGGGGAAAGGCAGCACAGATTACTGAGTGGTAGATTACTGTAAACTAATACAGGGGTGAGAAGTGCCCCTGGACCCCATGAAATCCCACAGATGAAAGGAATAGGAAATAACGTGAGAGCTGAGACAAACATAAGGATGCAAAGCCCAAAAAGAAAGCTACAAACAGTGGAGCAAAGGAAAAGGAAGTGAAAGGAAAAAAAGGAAAATACATAGGACAGGAGGGAAGGGGCAGTGAAGGAAGCAGCTGGTCAAGGAAAATTTTAGGCAAAGAAGGAGTGAATGAAGGAATTAAGAAGATAACATTGAACATCATATGGTAAAACTGTAGAAATAGGGACCAGAAAGGGGAAAAGGAGCAACTAGAATCCTGCCCTATTTTTTATGTGGCCCCTGGCTGGATGTTTTCAATACAAACAGCATCAGAGACACCTGCATTTCCCCACAGGAGCTGCCAGCCCTTCTGTAAAACCAGCTTTTGCCACCAGGCAGCAAGTTTCTCTCTTTAGCTGCTACTGAAATGGTGTCAAACCATCTAGACAAACCTCACTAAATCACTAAAGGCCCTGCTCCGTTAGGATATGGGCTCTGTATGTTTCTGCCTTGAGCAGGTCTTGTTCTTCTCTGGTATCCCTTTTAGTAGGGCTTTCCAGCTCTTTGACACAGTCTCTCTATTCCCAGAGCAGCTGATAACATGAAAGCATGTCTCCCCCTACCATTGTGCAGGAGGTTTATTTGGATTTAGAAACTGCCCTCAGCAACACTTAACCCAGTGAGTTAACCCAGGCACGTGGCCAAGGTAGTGAAATGGGCTCTGCTCCAGCTCCCTCACTGGAGATTGCTCCCTGCTCTCATGGCAATCTGCTGGCTTGCTGCTGAGAAAACTGTCCTCCTCACTCAGGGGAGTTTCTTACCCCAGGAGCTGGGTTAGCAATGCCACAAGTGATTTCATCACTGGTGATGAGGGACATGCTGCTGACAGGTAACTCTTGGTCATTTAGTCCTGCTCCTGACTTCCTTGTCAATGAGGTGCTCCCACATAGAATCATAGAATGGTTAGGGCTGGAAAGTTCCAACCCTCCCTTGCCATGGGCAGGAACGCCTCACACTAGACCATGCCACCCAAGGCTCTGTCCAACCTGGCCTTGAACACTGCCAGGGATGGAGCATTTACCACTTCTTTGGGCAACCCATTCCAGTGCCTCACCACCCTCACAGTAAAGAATTTCTTCCTTATATTGAACCTAAACTTCCCCTGTTTAAGTTTAAACCCATCACCCCTTGTCCTATAACTACAGTCCCTGATGAAGAGTCCCTCTCCAGCATCCTTGTAGCCCCCTTCAGATACCGGAAGCTGTTCTGAGGTCTCTCTCTTCAGGCTGAAGAAGACACACCATCAGCATTGCCGAGGAGGAAACAGCTCTAGCTCTGCATCTGCCTTTGCTAAGTGAAATGCATCTGTGCAGCTTGCTGATAAGTCACTGGGAGAGGCTGATGGCTATGCTGCTGTGCAGTAGGTCAGTGCATTGACACACAGCACCTAGCACAAGGCCTTGTGTCAAGGACTGTACAGCTGTCCCCTGGCCACCACTTTAGGGTGGTGGACACATGTATCAAGCAGGTGGTGCTGGAGCCAGCGAAGGCTATAAAATCCAGCAGCAGCAGCCAAAGCAAATGATATTGCCTGGATCCTCCTTGGATTGAATTAAGTGTTTGGGCTCAAACATCACATTTTGCATGTTTATCTTAGGTAGATTTCTATGGAAAAGGGTTTCAATGGTTTCTTCACCAGGGAAAGCTAAAGAGTAATGTCTTGTTTTGCGTGTGTTGAAGACTGTTCCTAAGAGTAAGGGCAAGACCTTCATATATGGCTGAAAGGTGGGGATGAAGAAGGAGATTGACTGGAAGCATAAGATTCGAGGACCAAAGAAACAAGCCGGTAGGTCACATAGGTACCAGCTTCTTACTACATAATGGGATTGTGAATTCACATCCATTAACTTAAGTTCTGCCTCTCAAATCCTTAATGACTCAAGGACCGGGGACTTCAGGACGTTTTCACACTAAGCAGTGATGATAAACATAACTGTTTCCCAGGAGGGCAAAGTCCTCTTGCTCAGAGCTCAGCACTCTGGCCTAGAAGACAGCAGGCATTCTTGTGCTACTGAAGATTTACTATTACGCATTTGTGCCTCTGTGCATGTAGCACTTGTGGAGACAGCAGCAAAGACCTTTTCTGCCCTTCCCATCTCCAATGCAATGGTAAGAAAAGAGTTGCCTTCTGCAGACACCCTGCTAAACACCCTGCTGTGCAGAGGCTTGAGCTGGGCACAGGCGTAGCCTGAGGTCTTGCAGGAGTCTGAAACACTTAGGAGCATCTACCGGTGATAACACACCCACAGTGGGAAGGAGAACGTCTCTTTCACAGAGATGCATGTTAATCTCTAGCTCGGATTAAATACATCCCAGCTGCTAGGAACAGCTGTGAAAGGTATTTTTCCCTTTGCTATTTTCAAGTGTGAAGCGTTCCTCCTCTTCACCATCCCCTCATGAAGGGGGGAAGAAAAGCATTGGATAAAAAGCCTTGCTCCAGGGCAAGAAAAGATCTGAACTCCAGCTTTGCATAAATCTGTCACTTTGATTCCCCTGAGAACAACTGCAAACTTGAAAAATGGCTTGGCGAAGCAGGCACAGGTGTTAATTCCTCTTTATTTAATGGGTAAAAAACACAAGGAGAAAAAAGTTGCTGTGAAGAGCCCCCTGCACATGATTTCTTTCACTCAGCTTTGTGCTTCATTAGCTCTTCCAGGACTATCTCTGTGTCAATAAAGTCTTATTTCTAAACCAGAAAGGAAAAGGGAAAATTGTCCTGTATCAGTATCTGCTGCAAAATCTACATTAACCACCCTTTGCTGCTTCTGCTGCTTTATTCCCTTCCTAGAACAATCTGTGAGGGGATTTTTTTGCTCTGTCCCTCTCACTTTTAATTGCTAATGCATTGAAGGTTTGCTGGCTTTGGCTCAGGGGCAGGAGGGCAGCCTCTGAGGATGCTCAGTGATGTCTTTCACCCCTGGGTCAGCTTTGTATCCTGCATTAAACTTGGCTCTTTTACATGAAACAAAGAAACGCTGTTCTTACAAACACTTCTCAATCCATTCACTTCCACCCACAAATGCTTCGGTGACAAGCGGCCAGACATTGCTGCAACGATCTTAGGCAGTCCTGGTGGCTGTGATCACCTTTGGTGGGGCACATCATTGGAGATGCCCTGGTTACACCCCAGG